GGCGGGGGGCGGGGGGGTCTCCCTCTAGGAGAAGAGAACCAGCATGGCTTTGTGTGGCCGGAGGATGGTGGTCTAGCATTAGCTTTGAGAGTCTGTAAATTTCCATTTTCTGTTATCAGTTACCGAGGCTCCAATTCTACACTTTCCCATCTTAAACTTAATGGAGATAAAATCAAAATACGTTAAACTTTCAATGTTTATCTGTAGCATATTTCATTTCATCAGTTCTGACATCTCTATTCCCCCTAAAACCATGATCTCAATTAAAGACAACATTTCCACTACTCCTGAATTCCCTCGTATAGTTAGGTTAACCCAGCCTTATGGTTTGAATAGGAAATGTGCCTCTTAGGCGCTTGTGTTTGATCCCTTGGTCCCCAGCCGGTGATGCTGTTTTGGAAGGAGATGGAGCCTCAGGGGAGGAAGTGGGTCTCTGGGGGTAGGGGTTTGAAGTTCCTATAGCTAGGCCCTACTTTCTATTTGCTTTTTGCTTCCTGTGAGCAGCTGCCCAATACTCCCACGTTTCTCATGATGCTTCACCGTGGTGGGTTGCATCCCTTCGTGAACTGCAAGCCAAATTAAACTCTTCCTTCCTTGAGACGCTTTTGTCAGCTTGTTTGCCTCAGCGGTGAAAGACAGAACCAACCCATCATCTCCATGCAAGCAGCCTGTATTTTCTAGAATTTTGTCTGAATGGAGCCACACACTATGTGTGCTTTGCTGCCCAGCGCCCATTCATCTGAAGTTCTCACTCTCATTATCCCTTCTGTTGAGGTTTGGTCAAGTAAAACACGGTCACCTGTGTGTGGCTGAAGGCCACCTGCTTCATGATCATCGAAATATGGGCCGGCACTGGCTGGTTGATCTCATGCCGGATCTCTAGAGCAAGTACCACATCGAGGTGCACCCAAGCACCAACGCTAACACTCTCGTATAGCTTCCCCGCGAGCACCAGCATCTAGGTTCACAGAACTGGGGACTTAGTCTAAGGCCACAGCCACAG